CAGGGTGATCAGGAGGCCCACGGCCAGTCTGGTGCCAGTGCGAGCAGGTCTTTCTGCAAGGACACAGCAGCCCAGGGGTGCTAGAGCTGTCCCACACAGAGGGTGGGACCCCAGGCGCCAGGGGTCCCCTTGAATCCAGAGTCTGGGCAGGGGCTCTCAGTTTTGTCACCAAAACTCGTCTCCCCACCTGGCAGGCCTAGGTCTGCATCCCCCTCGGCCACTTGCCCTGCCTACCAGAAGCACCAAGTCAGAGCCAGCACCATAAATATTACACTTTATTAACTTACACAGGTGAGTAGTGGCAGGGGTGACAGGGGCATGTCATTAACCCCAGCCCGGAGGGAGAGAGGCTGCTCTGAGGGACATAAATTCCTGGGGCCCCTGTGCTTCCTGCAGGACCATGGACGGAAGCCCGTCACCCTCTTGCTGCCCTGGGCCCTCCAGAGCGAGAGGGCTGCCCCAGACAAGGGCTGGGTGTGACATAGCAGTCACCGCCTCCTGCCTCCTGCGGCTTTGGACCCTGGACTCAGACTGGGGCATAGGGGGGGGGCAGCACCAGCTAGGGAGGACTGGGGCCTCACAAACTCAGTCCTCACGATCCTGTATGCAATGTCCTCCTCCGGCCTGGTGGCCCTAGGCACCAGCTCTCCCTCCAGGCCAAGGGAAAGGCCTGGTGCGCTGGTGGGGCTCTCCCTCCGGTGGTAGCGAGCTTCTGGAAGGTTCTGGGAGGGTCCAGGCCTAGGAGTGAGCGGGCCTGCAGGAGCGGCAGCAGGCTTTGCTGTAGTACCAATGGCTGCACAGGTTCACTTTGATGGCCAGCACGCAGTTGGTGCCCGGCTGGTCCTGGCAGCTGTCGTCTGGGGAGAGGGCAGTGGAGGGCATGGGCATCAGGAGCGCCGCCACCCCCCACCACGTGTGGACAGATGGATGCTACAGCCCTTCCATCTCCACTGCACACCCCCCCACTTCAGTCTGCACTCTGCTTTTCTCGGCAGAATAGGGGTCCCTGCCAAAGAGGACCAGCGCCTGACCTAGTGTTCACTTGTCCCCCCTTCC